GTGCGAGAAGTTACGCACCGCCCGAAATACAGCCGTGGCGATTGTTGTAATTTCCGTTCAGTAGGTTTTCCACAAGAAAGACTTAATCCCATCGATAAACAATAAATTGAGTGTGAATAAAGATGAGGACGATTAAAAATCGTTTTAACCGTTCGCACGTATCGATTCTGACACCGTTTAATGGTACAATTTTTCATGAGCAGAGTCGAGACGGTATTGACAATTAATTGTCAATGACTATACATAATTTACAATCTGCATTACTGAATTAATAATGTATTCTATTAAAGCAGCAGCTTTAATCGCTCCGGGAAAATTTGCGAGTAAATCTACATATTTCTGAGCTCTCATATTCTTTTCAAATATAAAAATATCGTAGTCTTAATAATTATCGATAGGAACAACTTAATAGTAAAGCGAAGCGCAATAACTGTGTGTCGTAGAATCCTCTTCAGCCATATGTGTTTTTTTTTTAAATTTTCAAAAATAATTAATCTTAAATCAAATTAATGCGTAGTCTTACTTCAATCGAAACCCCGACGTTACTACGATATCGGTTATATCGTATCAAACGCTGCTCGATCGTCAATCGTGATCGACAGAATAATTTCATCTCAAGTGCAATCGAGTTCGGCAAGACGATTAGTTATAGAAAATGCATGCCTAATATCGCGCGCGGTTGGCGCAACAATATATTACAGCAGGTGTGTATTTTTTAGCACTTCGATTGCGCGGTATCGCAATAATATAATATGGTAATATTGTCAGCTCGCTTAAATTGTCGATAGATAATGACGCTTCTTATTAACCAGTTAAATATAAATGCAACAACGTGTATACGTATACGCGCCGCGCGGGCCCGCCAGACCGACCTTTTTGTTCGCTTTCGCGATCGATTCGCGTTGCGCATCGTTACGTGTAACCTTTCAAGTGCGCGCGCTTTAGAGAATCCGAAACCAACTACACATTCACCGAGTTATCCGAGTTGAATTTGCAGTAAACTGCGGAAATCCAGGGCTTTTGCTTGAAACGTACGTTTGCCGCGTTGTGTGCGTGTGTGTGTGTGTGTGTGTGTGTGCGCGCGCAAATTGTCGGCTGTGCTTCTAGAAAAAGATATTAATTTTAATATTAAATACACACACATTTCCATCAACGATGAGTCGTATTACAGATTTTATTTCAATCTTTCCAAATATGATATATTTACTAAATATAAAGATACATTTATTTCGAGCATTAATTTGACTTAACTATCATCTCTTCCTAAACGTCATTCATTCTCAATGTATCTATCAAACAGAAGAAAATTCATGGCAATTCCTCGAATGATATAAATGTCGCATTTAAAAGAAGAACGCTGATCTGCGTTTGCGAGCGATTAAACATCGCGAGGCGCGCTTAATATTAACGTGCGATTCGACGTGCCTTCTCGAAATCGCAAAATGAGCTCCAACAAATATATGAAACGACGTAGTTACAATTACCATTACGTATATCTGTCGCTCGTGGTAGTTCCATTGTTCCGGAAAAGCGTGCAAAAGAATAGCGCGATAAAAAAAAGTGCGCGGAGCGAGCGAGAGGAGTACAGTGCGAGCGGCCGAGGTGCATTTTACGCATTCGCGTGCGTATGCCGTCGCTGTGCAGCTCCGGCGCGGCCTTGAGAGGGGTTCTTTGTGCAGTTCAGCGTTCACTGCGGCGTTCGCTCGCGTACGCTCGCACAATCGCGAAACACGGGTGCGCGCGCGTACACCCACACCCACACGGTTAAAACTGGCCCCCGCCGTTACATACGTACACTGTAACAAGTTGCGTTGCACTTATGTACAAAGGGCGCTCCATGTGACTCACGTGCTCGCATATGCTACCGGCGGTCTCCGTCCCTCTCGCTCTTCCTCCCGCTGTTGATCTTTCCTCCTTTCCTCCTCCGCGTCCTATTCTATTTATTTCTCTCTTTCTTTCTTTTTGCTTCTTTCTCGTTCGTACATATATATAT